TATATATATATTAATGTTTAACTAAAATGAAGTGAACAGTGTGTTAAATTTAGTTTAACTTACCAGAAGAGCGGAGAAACCCGCCCCGTGGCTGCTTTTGTTTCAGAACTTCTTCCATCCGAGGAGGGACCAAAAAAAAAAACTTTCCGCAGAAATGTCGGATAGTTTTCAAATAACGGAGGTGTGCAAAACCTCGGCTACATCTTCTGAAACTCACCGGCTGGTTGCAGAAAACCTCAGGCCGAGACAAAGCGTGACAGCCGGGCTGGAGTCGCACCATCCAGCGGAGGACCCGCGCTGCCTGAAGGAGGAAGAGGACTGATGAAGAAGAGAGTGAAAGATGAGATTGTGCTGCACCGACATCCGGAATGTGTCTTCACAAAACACGCAACAGAAAAAAAAAAAAAAAAAAGGTGGGGGGTGCTTGAGTCTGGAGAACAGCTGAGTGGGTGTAAAAAAAACTCCCCACCCCCTCCATCTCTAAATGCTGTCTTTACATTTAAAAAAATAAATAAAAAGCACTTTGGGGTTTCTTTTTACGCCAAATAGTTTAAATGAAAAATAAACGTGCTTATAATAACAGTAAATAAATGTCTGTAATCGTGGTGTTGAGTTGTTTAGGCTGAACTTCTATTACTTTTATTCGGCAAAATGAAGACACAAGACAAAAGAAAAATGTTTAAAACTTTAATACAGTTTGTTTAACACTACAGAGGCTTGTAATAGTGTACAAAAGATAAATAAAAACACAAATGACTTCATGAAATATATTTATATCACACTGAAACAGCTTCCTCATTTCACTTTCAGTCTTTGGATTTTTTTTAAATTTATTTATTTTCTCATCACATCTCAGTCCATGCACTGACTCCCTCAGGTTTTAATTTGAAGATCCTTCTGGATGCTCTCTGGCCTCAGTAAAGAGCTGGCAGGTTTTCTTGTGTTTTGGCCAGTGTTTTACTTGACATTCTCTGAAAATGAATAAATAAACAAGAGATGATACTTGTTATTTATATTAGCAGGGAAGTAAGAACTAATTAGATCTGCATTCCACTTCTCTGTTCAAAAGTCAGCCCAGGTAATTACTAACATCTAATGTTGTCTGATAAATGTTTTTTGTAACCTAAAGTCCATAAGTTAAAGGTGCAAAGTTAGTTTCTGTTTTATAATTTTGGCTTACCTTAAAGAGATCCCCGATTGGTTGTAACATTAGACTTTATATGATAAAAATATACTTTTACTGTAAAATAAAGACTGTAAAAATACTGTAGGATGTTCAGTTTTTATAATTTTTAAACTAAAAGTTTAAAAATACAGTATATTACACGGATGGGGCCATTTTATTTACACGCAAAGCATTCTGGGTAAATGATGTGGATAGATCCTTGGTGCGACGCTGCTAGTGAGCTATATCCACCCTGAAGGTTAATTTTGGACAATATCTGATGATCGRCTCTTTTAAATGAAACCAGAGAGCGTTGACAGAGAGGAGAAGGTAGAAATGACTCAGCCTGTAACTGAAAATACAGATGGAGGACAACAGAGCTGCTTCATGGAAGAAGATCCCCAGATTAGCCTGTTAGCTTTAGCATTAGCCACTATGCAATCACCATATATATGTATTAGCTCTGCGCTACACATTCTCCTCTCATCACTGAGGTCCTCCATCCACATGACAGAGAGGGGAACACAAAAATGACTCAGTCTGCAACTGAAAATATGGATGGAGGACCTCAGTTTAGCTTGTTTTTCACGCTAGCACCGAGCTAATACATATAAGGCAATATAGCGTGAGGGCTAGCGCGAAGGCTAACAGGTTAAGCTGAGGTTCTTCTTCCATGAAGCAGCTCTGTTGTCCTCCATCCATATTTTCAGTTCCAGGCTGAGTCATTTCTACCTTCTCCTCTCTGTCAACGCTCTCTGGTTTCATTTAAAAGAGCCGATCATCAGATATTGTCCAAGATTAACCTTCAGGGTGGATATAGCTCGCTAGCAGCCTCGCACCAATGACCTAGTTGATGTTATCATTTACCCAGAATGCTTTGCGTGTAAATAAAATGGCTCCGTCCGTGTTAAAATATATTTTAAAATATTTACACAACTAAACAGCCTACAGTATGTTTACAGTGTTCATTTTACAGTTATAATAAATGTTTATCAAATAAAGTTTAATGTTACAACTAATCGTGGATCCCTTTAAGCTTGAAAAGGGCAACAGTGGATGAGTCCGTGACAAACATCTACAGAATGTCTCACCTGTGACAGTACCACTCTCCTCGGCATCGAGAGCATCGTTTCGAAGCCTCTTTCCCACAGGACACACACTTTGGTTTCTCAGGGAGTAAACTTGCCAACACATCCGAGTTGTATGTCTGAGCCAGCCTGGTTAAATTAAACGTTTGAGTTGCTTCTCTTGTACCCTTACTGCTCACATAGATCTGTGTTTTCAGCTTTACCTTTGGGCCAGTTGTCTCAAGTCACTGTCAGACGGGCTGAACACTTCTTTGATTTGATACTTGGCTATTGCCTTCCACTTCCCAGAATTCTCTTTGACAATGTAGTTCCACAGTTCAGGGATCTAAACGTTAGGAAAAAAAACTGCTGGTAAATGCGCAGGAGCAGAGATTGAAGCACGTTTATAAAAATGACAGTACCTGTTCTAAAATGAGCTCTTTTTTCGGAGGGGCTGGGTCTGTAACAGCGAGGTGAGCCAGGAAACGCTGAAGCTCAATCAGGTTTGGCAATTGATCGATCAGCACGTCTGTCAAGAACGCCCTGAGCTGTGGGACACGCAGGATGTACAGTAGCACCGTTAGAAAAATCAGAATACCGCAGGGCGCTCAAGGCTCCCTGGTGATATAAGTAATGCTTAAGGAAGAGGATGAGAGGTTAATAATTGGAGGAAACACGTTAAAAACATCCACTGGAAACCAAATCTGTGCTCCAACAGGGAAGGATGTCAGATAGGATGTGAGGAGAAAACAAACAGCCACTTGAACGTTTCCTAAACTTTCATAAGAGTTAACTGAGTTCAGGCGCCGGCTAAATAAAGCAACACACAAACAGCCCGACACACGGCTCTAACGTTTAAAATCACACGCAGCTGCAAGGCGTCTGCACAGATTTAATGAACCGTKTACCTTCAGAAGCTGGTTCTTGTTGAAACTGTTGAAGTCGTACTTTCTTTGGCAATCCTCCTTTAGCAGCAAATTGTAAAGAGTTAGCCAGACCTGCCCATCTAGTTTAGTCATCTTTAAACGGTCCTCAGCTGGAATCGTCTGCCATTTGCCATTAATGTGCTTTTGCATTTCACCTGCAGAGTGAAACGCAGAGCAGAAGTAAGGGTTACTTCAAGAGTCTTACTCGTGTTTTAAAGCAGACAAAAGCTGGCGCACAACAAAGGGTTTCAAAGGGGTGCTTCGCTTGTTTCAAACAACAGACCATTTCAGAGTTATTAGCATCAGCAGAACCTAGCTCTTCTGGGTCACAGGTCAACTGGTAAAATGTTGAGGTTACAATGAAAATGTTACTGGAATTGTGCAGATTCAACAAGATCAAAAAGCAGATTTATAGTTTAAGTACTTATGAAGAATTCCTAAAGGAAAATTGAACACAAATCAGTTCAGAGAAAATAAATCAGGTCTGTAAATGGCATAAATTTACTGGCTGAATTTCTTCAATACCAATGATCCCATAGCAACCTCAGTGTTTTAAAAAAAAACCTGAGAGCTCTGCCCTCTTTGCAATGCACATTTTAACAATTTTTAACCACAAAATGATCTATTGGGCTCTAATGGAAAAAGTCCACAGGTCACTGTWTATGGATCTCATGTACTCAGTTTAAAGGGATCCCTGATTAGTTGTAACATTAGACTTTATTTGATAAACATTTATTTTAACTGTAAAATAAAGACTGTAAAAATACTGTAGGCTCTTTAGTTTTGTACATTTTTTAAAATATATTTTCACACGAATGGGGCGATTTTATTTACACGCAAAGCATTCTGGGTAAATTATGATGTGGATAGGTCCTCGATGTGAGCGAGCTATATCCACCCTGAAGGTTAATCTTGGACAATATCTGACGATTGTCACTTTTAAATGAAACCAGAGAGCGTTGACAGAGAGGAGAAGGTAGAAATGACTCAGCCTGTAACTGAAAATATGGATGAGGACAACAAAGCTGCTTCATGGAAGAAGATCCTTAGCTTAGCCTGTTAGCTTTAGCGCTAGCGCCAATGCAAAATTGCCTAATATGTATTAGCTCGGTGCTAACACGACAAACTAACAAGCTAAACTGTTGTCCTCCATCCATATTTTCAGTTACAGGCTGAGTCATTTCTACCTTCTCCTCTCTGTCAACGCTCTCTGGTTTCATTTAAAAGAGTCAATCATCAGATATTGTCCAAGATTAACCTTCRGGGTGGATATAGCTCGCTAGCAGCCTTGCACTGAGGACCTATCCACGTCATCATTTACCCAGAATGCTTTGCGTGTAAATAAAATGGCCCCGTCCCTGTAATATATTTTTAAAAATTTAGTTTAAAAATGATAAAAACTAAACAGTCTACAGTATTTTTACAATCTTTATTTTACAGTAAAAATAAATGTTCATCAAATAAAATCTAATGTTACAACTAAGCGTGGATYCCTTTAATGCATTTGTAATACTCACTTTTAAAGACGTTCAAAGCTTTAAAACGAGCAGCGGTGTTTTAAAATCAATACAACATCCAACAAGGAGCCAAAGCAGATAGTCAAGTCTTTTCTTTCTACTTGAAATGCATACAGTGAGATATACCTTTCTGGCAGCGACTCCAAGGGCAGGAGTCAATCAGCTGAACCAGAACACACGGCATGTTGTGTGTGCACAGGATTCGATTAATCACACTGATACTGTTGGAGAAAAAACGAAGATGTAATATTTTTGAAAATTCTCACTAACAGAGACAACGTTTAACATTTTATTCTGACATTGTTTAAATCAAGAACATGACAGTATATGAATTTCTACCTTGCCTACCTGTCAGTGTGATCTGTGATGTAGCGCAGCACAGACACAGCTTTCAGGGAGATTTCAAACTCCAGCGCAGCATTCTGCATCTGTAACTCCTTCACCGAGTCAAGCAAAAATACTGTGACTGTGCTATAAACTAATAAGGTGCCAAACTAAGACAAACCAAGTGTTTTTACCTCTATGAGGCACGTGTGGTTGTGCTGGTTTTGAGTATCAGCTTCCGGCTTGGTTGCTTCACTGGCCAGCAGGGTGAGTTTACGGTGGCAGTAATCCACCAAGTCAAGAAGAGAGTCATTGGCTGCATCACATGAATCCTAACAATCAAACACACAAAAATACAAAATAACAACATTTAGACAGTGGCCTGCTGAGTCAAACCTATCCTATATATAATAAACAACGTATTTAGAGATATAAGACTTGACTGACCTTATGGAACAGTATTGTTTCAAGCAGGTTTATGACAGTGCCCTCATGATAGATCTAAGAACAGTACAGAAACTAATGTATGACCACTGCAAGCTGACCATCTTCATTTTACATCGTCTCACACTCACCACAATGTGAAGCTGAAATGTGTCCTTAGGATTGAAGTCCTGCACCTGACACAAAATGGGAAACACTTTCTGCTTCCACACCTCCACAAGGATCATCTCATGGACCAGAACAGGTATCTGACAGGAGGACTACATCACTGATCTTCACAGAAAATGGAAATGTGGCATTGCATTTACTTATTGTGGTGGCACTCACCTTTCCAAGTGATACCAGGAGCTCTTTGACAAACTCATCGTGCATCRCCGAAGCATTCAGTATTGCCTGCATGTTCAGTTTCTGAATATGCTCATGTTGTCTGAACCATCTGTTAATGCACACAGAGATGAAAAGGCACACATTATACATGACCACATTCCAGATCATGCAGTTTTTATTTTGTGACAGGCCTATTTCCTGTCCTTATTTTCAACTGTAATAATGAGGAAGTATTTTGTAAGAGGCTATGGTGTGTGACAGTTACAGCATATAAAAGTTTCTCACTTCTGTTTTTCAGTCTTACTGAAATGTATACATACCAGCAAAGAAAACTGAAGGCTGTCATTATAATGAAGTCCAGATAAGGTCAAATTATTATTGTGTGAATGATTGATAGAGTTCACACTACTGCGATCATTTTTTCTTCCCTATGTTTTTCAGCATCTACCGCGTTCCACAATTTTTGTGCTATTTCAACAACTTGTATATCAAAACGTTCAGCTCATTTATGACAAGTCTGCTATGACTTTTGGTATTTCAGCTATTTTTACTTTTTCAGCAACTTTTTTTTTCCATTGAAAATGAATGGAGCTGTTTTCAACATCCTTAAAACCCTTCAAAAATGTTTCTAAATGTTTACAGCACCTTTCACATTTTATTCTGGTCCTGCTCTTTTTCATGTTCTTGTGCTAATTTTAGCTACTTCTTGCTAACTTTACCCCCCCCACACCCCCCCCCCCGCTATTTCTATTAAAATTCTGCTTCTTTCTGCTTTTCTTCTGTTGTTTTCTACTTTGTGTTTATTTTCTGCTAATTTGTGCTATTTTTGCTTCCTGCAGATGTTTTCAGCTATTTTTTAAAACTATTTTAGCTGTTAGCTGTTTTCTGTTGTTTTCAACTAGAATTGTGCTAATTTTACTGTTTTTCTGCAAAGTTAGTTCACATTAACAATTTTGCTATTATATATTTTCAGCTCAAATTGAGCTGAAATTCACACAAGCATTTTCGCAGGAAATGCAATTTCTCTAGTTTTTATTATTATTTCTTTTTTTTCCTGGAAAGCACCAATGACATCACCATAGCTAAAGTAATGCTAGCTTGCCAACAGCAATAGTTTACCTCGTAGAGCCCACATCCCGGAGGGTAAAAGTTTCCAGATTCTGAATAAACTCTTCTGCTTCCACAGGCAGAATAACCGACGTATCCATTTCGATAGACTGTCTCACCCTAGTTGAGTTAAAAAAAAAAAAAAAAGCTTCAATCTTACATTTCAGCGAACTTGTTAATGGCGAATATTAGCAGTGGTTGCCGCAGTGACTGTAAACAAGCAGCAGCAAAGTGTGCAGTTTGTTGAACCCGCCACTAGGGGACGACAAATACTAATGTAAAAAGGGTTTTCAGCCGAGCGATGATTGGCTGCTACGTTGCTTGGCAACAAGGGCTCACGGCAGACTCAAATGACCTTAAGTGTTCTAAAACACACCTACCTACGGCGACTTCACTTGTATTTAATGATGTAAGAATGATAAAAACTATACAGTCTAGTTTAATCTGAAAACACAATCAATAATATGCTGTGAGTAGTTTTATTGCTGTAAGTCAAAACTGTGAAATATTGGTTTTGGTTCTTGGATTACTGTCAGTCATGATATTAGTTAAAATTTTTATATTACACACATAAAATAAAGCACTGTTAAAAATATGTGGTAAAGTATATTCAGTATCGTATCATGTTTGAAATAAAACAAATCCACTGTACTTAAAGTACATCTAATCTTTCCTGACTCTCTTCAGTAAATATTTCTACCCAGTCTAATAAGATCTAACTTTTCTTTAATTATTTTCTCCAGATACAATTGTATTGCCACTGTCATTTTGAGCAACAAGAAATTCAATAACAGAAAGGAATCTTCAAAACACAAATTTAACCTTTGTTCTTTTTAATAATACCCTGAATATAAACACATAACTCTGCAGTGTTAGATGGTAAATTACACCCAGCAGTGCTTTACAGAGGTACAGGATTAATAAGCTTCTCCTTCATAACTTAATCAAAACACAAAAAAGGTAATAGCTTTTGATTTTATGATTACATTACAAATTAAGCTGTAAAAATTACAAAACATCTTTAAGTTGACTGTTGGTCAGAGAAGTCTCTCTGGTTCGAGGCACCTTTGGTTGAGGTATGTCTGTATCGTTCAGGCAGGTGGTTTCATGTGCCATCACTTCCAGCATATAACAATATTGGGGTCATTTTCCAACCGCTCATCCAGCTCCTGGTAACTAATACCTGTAACATAGGTAAAATACAAGCAAACGTTCATTTTATGAAACATTAATTATTAGTTAAATAAATAAAATGATGCTTTTCTATTATATGGTAATGTTCAGGCAATTAAGATGACTTGACATGAATGAAAACTGCTGCTTGCTTTCACATTTATAAAGTGTGAAACTACTGAGATTATTGAGGTGTTTGTGATTTATGTCAGGATTAATGTCAGATTGGATGGGGTACACTCTGTAAACGTTCATCAAAGAGCCACAAAGACACAAACGAGAGACAACCATTCACACTCTCACTCCCCCCAAGTGACAATTTAGTTATGAACTCACCAAAACATGCATGTTTTGGGTCTAAATATGGTGACACATCTTTATAATGGAGTTTATAAAACGAGAACATCTATTGATGCTCATGTTGATGCGGAGATAATAATGCCTGTAATGTTTACTCATTACTGGATGGAACCATTAAACTGAATCATTTTCTATACTGCCTAAAATAGCGCTATACTGCTCAGTGCCATGTGATGGAAAAGCAACAAAAGTGAGCCATGAAACAGCTGAACAGCTGTTTCTTTGTGCTTAACCAGACCATCCAGGCAGAACTGTGAAGTTCCTGCTCGACGCTCAGCATTTAGACAAGCAGCTTTTTCGGTTAAAGCCATCAGTCAGTGGAATGCCGCTCCCGATCATGTAAAAACTTGTAGTTCTTTTATTGGTTTTAAAAATAATCTTAAAAAATATCTTAAATCTACCCAATGTTGCAATCATTGAATTGCACTGGGTTATCTATTTTAGAGTTGCTTCTGGTTGTGTGGGTTGGAGGGTGGAGTGGAGGTGGGCATGATTTTATGTTTGGAGACTGGGGTGGGGTGTTTTATTTATTTTTTAATTGCAAAATGTTTTATTTTATATAATGTTTATTTTTTTCCCCTCTTTTATTTCTATTTTACTGTTGGATGTTGTTTTGTTTTGACTGTTTGATGGGACTACAGATGTAAATTAGCCTTAGGCTAAATCTGGTGCAATGCATCAAATTCTGTTTTAATTGCACACTGTCCCGAACAAATAAAATCATTCATTCGTTCATTCATTCATTCATTCATTCATTCATTCATTCATTCATTCATTCAAACTTGCCTGTTTTGCAGCAGATCTCATCATAACTATGACTACCGGTGTACAGTCGAGGCCGCCTGCTTCTCTCGTCACGGACCACCTTCACTGGATACTTCTGGAGCCGTCGAATCAGAGATTTCATCAGTCCAAACTGGATTAGCCTCCTAGACAAAAGAAAAAAAAAAGTCACAACATAACATGACCCAGTTTTAAGCACTCTGAAGCTGACATTCCAGGAGCAGATGTCATTTCAGGACCAAATATGGAGAGCGGCACTGACCTCTCATCGACTCTCTGAAGCTGCTGCGAGTAGCGGGAGCAAAGATCTCGCACTGTGGTTCCTGGACTCAGACCACAGTACAGCTGGAACACGTCTCTGAGGCTGGCACGTTTCTGACCTGACAGTCACCAGAATTAGAAATCAGACATAGTGAATTAAAACAATACTTCATGACTTATAATTGGTYTTTTTTACCCTGCTTAGTGACGTAGGCAAGGCATTCCTCTTGAATGGACTTGTCATCAATAAGGTTTTGGACTTTGGGGGTTGTGCAGTACACATTAGAGTACTAGAAGAAGTGATAAGAAAGCCATCAAAACAAATCAACCCTCATGTCCACAATAAATGAAGCGTATTAGAGGAAATTTTAATGATGTAAAAATATGTTTTGCATTAAAATGGTGGGGAAAAAAGATCAATCGATTATTTTGGTACCTGAAATATTGACACCAGAGTCACAACCCCATAATACCTGTAAAGGAGAAAGTGGAATTAAATATATCTTATTTATTGTTAAAGCTTAATCTGAAGCAATTAAACTTAAGTAAAATCATGTCACTTCTACGGCTGTGTATTGGCAAGAATTTAGTGATATGATACATTTCATGACACAGGGGTCATGATARGATACACTGCAATACTGTAAACAAAGTGATTTACTGCCATTTTTTTACTTAGAGACTTGTTGATTCTCTTACTGGTTAAACCAAACGATTACAACTGATCACAAAGTCTACAACATCAGAATGTATCAAAAATTCAGTTAATCAAACACAAAATATCCAAGACTAGGTTCACACTGCAGGTCTTAAAGTGTCTGTGACATCAAATTTTTGTAATAAACATGAATGCATTTTTGGAAAGATAACATTGATAACATGTTGCAAAACAAATTTCATGTTGCTGAGATGAACGGTTGTTGAGATATTTGCCTGTGAAGAAACAGGAAGTGATGTCAAAGAGGAATGTCAGCATGTAAACAGAGCGTTGTTACAAAAGCTAACAACACAGACTGTACAGGAGAATCTGATGTTTCTTTAGATTATTTTTAGTCGCTGTCAAAGAGACAACAAAGCGTTAAAGTTTAATTATTTTGTTTTAATAAATTGAGACCAGCGAGTTTATTTTATTAATGAGTTCCCCTTTGATGTCACTTCCTGTTT